TGAAATAATGACCCTAGGGACACGGTATACCACCGAGACCACGAAAAACAAACAGTGGTGAAAGAGAGTCAAATTTGTTCACTGGTGAAAACCACTTTGTAAGAGTTGGCCGGCTCAAAGACACTCGTGTACGCGTGTGAGTAAACTCAAACATTAACCACTTACAGGCCCTGGAAACGAGAAAATCACGTCCAAATTTGTTACGAAAAGCAAAATCATCCGACTAGCAGACGAAACAACGTTTAATTTGCATCAGAATTTCGGTAAGGAAAGAACATAAGATGGGAAGGAATTACGCATTATCTGAAGCACCAATTCATGCGCAAAATGTAGCAGAGACAGCGTTGTCACAAGAACAAGCACTGCTGCCAGTAGTTGTGCTGTTCTCCGTATTTATTGATTTTGAGGTATGGGGACAAAAGTAATCGCAGGAGATCGGAAGCTATCTGACGTACAGACGGAATACAACAATGCACATGCTGGGAAAACGGTTAGTTACTTTTTAAGGCAAAACATGGATTCATTTTCAACGGTAAAATCTATCAACTGACCTAAATCTAATGCTGCACACACTACACCGACTGCAGGCAGAAAGTTCAAAGAGGAAAAAAACAGGAAACAAAGACAGTATGAGAAAAGGCCTAGCAGAACATCACCAGGAGAACAAAACGGCAGCTGGTCATGTCTACGGGCCTAGGACTTCAAGCACTCATTTACTAAGAGGTATTTGAAAACAAGTTTCAAAGCATGCTCTTAAATTCATCACTGCGTCATTTGGTTCAACTAACTTGGTTCCAGTATAGGGGGAAGTCTACATAAAATGCAGCAAATTCTGCATCCTTTACTCTAATTGAAAAAAAAATACTCTCAAACTAAGGTTGAACTTCTGCATTTGAGTTGTTATGCCTTATTTACTTCCAACTTCGCGGCTGTTGAAATGACAATAAACCTACATGTAAATGGGTGAAATTTTGTCTTTTGTTCTATACCCACTGTCGATCTTCACCTAACTTGCAGGCTGGAAGACAAATGAGATCACTTTCACTGGTTCTGCGTTCCTGTTTCTAAAAGCATTTGCTGCAGGTTCTGGGAGAGTTTAAAGGAAGACAACACGTAATCCCGCAGATAGACGTCGTTAAGCAGCTGTTGCCGACACCTAGGCAAATTCACCTTAGATCCCATGACCATCATTCGCTTTAAAGGCATACCTAATTTTGACTAAAAAGCACATTGCTGAAGTGCATTCCTTGGCTCAAACAGGAGATTAAGTAACCTGGATTAACACTCACCAGATAGACTAATGGAGGCACCCGAATACAGAGCTTATAGAATGGGCCATACTGATTCTTAGCAAACAAGAACTCGGACAAGTCCTACTAAATAGCAGGTACGCGACGCCTCGCAACCTCTGCGTCTAGTTATCCTTCCCTCTTCCGTGATCATGACCAACGTAGCTTCTAAGCACAAAACCCAGGAGTAAAAAAGCAGTGTTTTACCTTGTGGTAATAGTCCTGTTAACTCAAGTCGGTACCGCGCGTCGGACTAGTTTTCGAGTGGTCCATTAACGGCGGCATGAGAAATAGGTTTACTGCAGTTCATACCGACTATGGCGATATAGATGTAACGATGACAACAGCATTAAACGGACGATGGTGCTGGCCGGACATACTGCCGGCCTAAACTCCGATTTTCCCTCCCTTTTACAAAATCGTGTTGCAAGTGCAACAGTATACCAAGAGAGCAAACGTTTTTCGTTGCTGGTACCAATAGAGACAGCCAATGCGCCGAACAAACAGTGCCTTCGCAGTTACCTAGACATAACAACCCCTCGCAGCGACACAATCTGTGACAAATGGACGTGCCCACAACAAGTTCGAGATGATTCATCAGGACACAAGGCAAGAAGACGCGGTAACACAGCCGAAGCAAGCGGAGATCGGACAAGGGTGGGCTTCTTCTAACGAAAAGAGCGATACGGCAGCGGAAGAAAATGAATTTTGCGTGCTTTGCCAACAAGTCACCAGTCTTAAGCAAAACGGTTTCGCCACTGCCACAACACGCGTTCTTGCCATGCACTTATGGTAGTCAATGTCATGCTTAAAGGATTTCATTCAGGGAGTCTCGGATTTCACACGCACAGACATAAATAATGAACCATGACAGTCTGACCTTCGCTTCGAAAGAGAGCGGAGCCATGTTGTTGAGCGACAACCCACCAAGTCACGGCTTAAAGCTAATTCTGGAAGGTCCCAAAGCGCTAGGATTAATAGAGTGGATTTGGCAAACAGATGTTTTCAGCAACTTTTCATCAGCCCAGCACATTTGCGGGGAAAAAGAAAGCTGTTCAGTTGGGCAGGGTTAATAAGCATACTTGGAGTACAACTCATC